CCCCCCCCCCCAAATACCTTTCTCAGAAAGCTCCAAGGACAGAGCTGCCTCCGGATCCTGATCGGCAGAGCTGGCCCCGGCAGCGGCGGGCAGGGCCGAGGCCTGGGCTGCCAGGCTGCTCTCGGCGGCTGAGGGAAGGCAGGAACGCCTCAGGGCAGGGCTGTCACCCACTGTCACCCATTGTCCTCCCCCAGAGGTCTCCTCCGGCCTTTCAGATGCTCCAATGCACGAAGGGAACAAAACCCCCCCTGTCCCAAAAGGTCCCCTGTGGTGTCCCTGCTGGCCCCACTGACCTTTCTGCACCTCCCGCAGGGAGCTGCTGACGATCGTCCACCACTTCTGGGCCTCCCGCTCCTCCTCGAAGTCAAACACCAGGGGCTCGTCCGAGGAGCTGAGGACCGTCAGCTCGTGGCACGTGGGGCTCTTCACTTTGTACGAGATGTCCTTGAGGTCGTACGCGGCCACGTTCTGGGGGGAAGCAGAAGGACCAGAGGGTTACACCATGACGAGGACACGCTGGGCAAGGGGGAAAATCCTCACGGCCCCGGGGTCTCTCACAACACCAGTGCAGGCAGAAACACGGACCGAGCCTCCGTCCCCGGGGAACTGAACCACAAACACTGCCCCAAATGCCCCCCCGCCTCGTGTCCAGGGCTGTCTCCAAGCCCCACAGCCACCCCGTCCCCTCCACCGTGGCCGGGGCCCACTGCGCAACACCCAGGGCTGTGACCGGCTCCACCAGCCGCCCCCCATGACCAAACACCCCCCTTCTGCAAAACCAAAGCGCAGGTGACATCTCGGAGCAGTCGCGCCGCCAGCTCTCGGGGGAAGCTGGTTCCTTCCCCCTTTTACAAACTGTGGGAAAACCCTTCCCCACGCACACACACACGCCTCGGCAGAGGGAGTGGGGGGGCTCGGCTTTCCCTGCCAGGCCCCCCCAAGCACCCTGGTTGTTCTCGGGTCCCCCCGGCTTGGCTTTACACAGGAGCTTTCGATTCCGTTTCTGATAAAATGGCAGCTCGGGAGGAGCCGGGGCGCGGGGACGGGCCCTGCGCAGCCACCTGCCCCCGCGGCCCCGGCAGCAGGCAGGAAGGAGGCGAGTGCTGCCTCCACCGACAAGGATGAGGAGGGGGGTGGAAGCAAGTTGAAGAGAAACTGCCGGTTTCTTTGCCCTTCACCCACATTTAACGTCCTGCCAAGTCCCCCTCAGCCCGCTGTCCCCAGGATTATAGGAAGGGAGCGGGGGGGGGAAAAGAACAGAGAAGCCAACGTACAGCCCCCTGCTTGCCCTTTGCGGGGGTAAAGCCGATCTGGGAGCAGCTCCCGGGGGTCCTCAGCACCCACATCCCGGGGGGAAGGAGTCAAATGAGGGAGGAACCGGGGACATGGCATTGCCAGGGCCACCTCCCGAGTCGGAACCGGCCGTCCCTGACACACGGCCCCGCAGCCCTGCAGCTCCCAGCCATTGTAGGAAAAGGCTCAGAAAAACAGCGTTTCAATTCCCCGGGTTCCTGCCATTGTGCCAAAGGGCACCCTGGGGTGCTGCCCCCGGCCACGGGGGGACGTCAGGGGAGGCAAAGCGGGGGGTGAAGGTCACTTCCAGCTCATCCTCTGCCTTCGCCGGGTCTGGGAGCCGCCAATCAGCCAGCCCAGGGCTCAGACGGGCGGTTTTGTCTGTTTAACCTCTCTCCTCCACCTCAACGTCGGACCGCAATGCCGTCCGCCTCCTCCCTGCCAGCTCCCAGCCCTCCGAGCAGCACCCGCAGGCAGCGCAGGCTCCCGTTACACCGGCCCAGGGCGGGATTAACACAGCCAGGAGGGTTTTACACCAGCAGCCGGCCCGCGTTACTGCCGCAGAGCAGCTGCTCCAACAACATTTGCCACCCGTGCGCGGGCCGGACTGGGAACGCGGCCCCGGTGAGGCCAGCACGTGTGTCCCAAGGGCCCGACAGCCGCTCCCTGCAGCACTTTGACCTTGAGAGGGGAGACGGAGAGGCGGGCTCAGGGCTGGACTCCGTGGAGCCTCGCCAGGGATTGCGTTTCCCTTCCCGTCGCTCGTCCCTCACGCACAACCAACCCCACGCCGCGCCAGCGTGGGTGGCGGCACAGGAAAGGGGAGCGTGAGCCGGGGCCCAGATAAAGCCCAGAAACCTCAGACTTGCCAGGAAAAGCACCGACGGCCGTCCTCGAGCGGCGGGAGGCTGGAGGGAAAGGCGGCTCCTGGCTCCTCCGCACAGTCCCCGCGGGTTTAACGGAGCCAACGCTACCCCCAGCAGCGGCGATGCGGCAGGGGGGAGGTTTCCAGCCTGGCACAAACCAGAACCCGGAGCGAGGAGGGGAAGGAAAAGCACCCCAAGAGCTGAGGCCTCAGGAAAGGTCTCAGCCCACATGCAGCTGAGCAAACTGGGGAAAAATCAGCCAGGAGAGGATCTGCTCCTGAAAGAGGGAGCTGGGCAGGCTGGAGGGGCTGTGTGAAGGTCATGAAGGTGAACAAGGCCAAGGGCGAGGTCTAGCACCTGGGTCTGGGCCAGCCCCAGGATCAGCACGGGCTGGGGGAAGGACAGACGGACGGACGGATGGACAGAGAGCAGCCCCATGGAGAACTGGGGGATACTGGGGGGTGACAAACAGGACGCAAGTCGGCACCGGGCGCTGGCAGCCCAGAAAGCCAAGTGTCAGCCGGGCTGCAGGGAGAGGGGGGGGATCGGGCCCCTCTGCCCCACTCCGGTGAGACCCCCCGGAGCCCCGTGTCCAGCTCTGGGGTCCCCAGCACAGGACAGACACGGAGCTGCTGGAGCGGGGCCGGAGGAGGGACACGGGAATGGTCCGAGGGCTGGAGCAGCTCTGCTGGGGGGAAAGGCTGAGAGAGCTGGGGGGTTCAGCTGGGGAAGAGAAGGCTCCGGGGAGACCTTAGAGCGGCCCCCCAGGGCTGAAAGGGGCTGCAGGAGATGGGGGAGGGACTCGTCATCAGGCAGAGGGATAGGATGAGGGGAATGGTTTTAAGCTGAGAGAAGGGAGATTTAGATCAGATCTAAGGCAGAAATTCTCCCCTGTGAGGGGGGTGAGGCCCTGGCACAGGCTGCCCAGAGAAGCTGTGGCTGCCCCCTCCCTGGCAGGGTTCAAGGCCAGGTTGGACGGGGCTTTGGGCAACCTGGGCTGGTGGAAGGTGGCCCTGCCCGGGGCAGGGG